ATATGAATGAAAGATTATCCCCATTTGACAGGTGGCAAAATGGAGGCTCACAGAGGGTAAGCAACTCATTCAGAGTGAGACAGTGTGTGGTGGAGCTAAGACACAAAGCCAGATTTGCTGGGTCTAAAACCTGCCCCAACTCGCCACCACTGGTCTGGTTAATCTCTGCTGTTGATGCGCCTGTGACCTTGGGCAATTTGCTTCCTATTTCTGATTCTGTCTTGACTTGCAGTCTTCTCCTTAATAGGACAAGGCTGAAATGAGTTCTGTCCCATCTCATAATTTCTAGGGGAGGGTGGGTCTTGATGACGCCAAGAGTCTCCAAAGGCATTCCAGAGAGCCAGGACTAGAGGGGTTCCGCTGCCCATTCCCCACCCCCACCCAGGGTTCTGTGAAGACCAGAGGAGGTTCAAGCTCTTTGGCAGGTTTATGCAGAAGATTAGCATTCAGAAGGGAGGGTACATTTCCAATGGCCACATCCAGATTCAGACCCTCTGATACATAAGGACTCCCCCCACCTTTGAATGTCAGCTTATATCCAGGGACCTAGATGAAAACTCTTTTCTGTCGCTGGGTGAGAAGAAACTTGCCTTAAACAAAATTCCATATCCTAAGTGGGGATAGCCTCTTCTTATCCTCACCCCAACTCTGGCTACAGAGGTGTGAATGGATTTAGTGTATGAGGAGGGCAGTGGACCTTAAAAATGGGCCTCCCTCTGACCCTGCAGTTCCACTGCTTCTAAGGTTGACCCCGAGGAAACCAACAACTGGAACTGTGCTCAGGGCCCCACGTGCTGTTTATCACCCTCCATCTCGGGTGGCAGGTGACACGGTTGATGACCTGATGACGCCCTTCTTCCTGAAACCCTTTGTTCTCGGCTTCCCGGACACCTCCCCTCCCCGTCCTCCTCCTTCCTGGCTGGGTGAGCCCTGCTGGCTCTCTGTTCTCCCCTCCGACCTCCTCCCGTTGGTGGCCAGAGGCTCATGCCTCTCTCCCCGAGGTGGTGCCTGCTGTCCCGGGTCTGTGACCATGTTTGACTTTCAAATGTCCCTCTTCGCTGGCTACCGACATGAGCACCTGGTGACCTCTCAGCATCTGAAGGCATCTCAGCTGCTCCCCAGGGTTTTTCAGTTTGGAGAACAGCTCCACCCAGGGGGCTCAAGTCTAAAGCTAGGCTTCCCTGGTGACTTAGGGGTAAAGAATCTGCCTGCCAATGCTGGAGGCACAGTTTGATCCCTAACCCAGGAAGATCCCACGTGCCGTGAAGCAACTACTGAATCCATGCCCTAGAGCCTGGGAGCCACAACTACTGTGCCCACGTGTCACAGCTACTGACGCCCCCACGCCCTAGAGCCCGTGCTATGCAACAGGAGAATCTGCCGCGAGAGAGGCCCATGCACCGCAACTAGTGAGTAGCCCCTGTTTTCACTGCAACAGAGAAATGCAATGAAGACCCAGCACAACCATAAATAAATACAATTATAAAAATAAATAAATAAATAAAGCTAGGCCTCACTGCCATCCCTCCAGGCCCAGGCCACTACTGCTGGTCTAACCTATTGCCTCCTTGCTATTGTTCCTCTTGACCCCTACAACCACAATTGTTTTCCCTTTTTTTTTTTTTTTTTGCCTTTTTTTGGCCATGTCACATGACATGGAGGATCTTAGTTCCGCAACCAAGGATCAAACCCACACCCCCTGCATTGGAAGTGTGGAATCTTAACCACTGGACCACCAAGGAAATCCCTGTTCTTCATCATTTTTGAAAAAAACAGATCTCCTCTCTCCTGATTCAAATCTCCCCATGGAGTCTCACTGCACTTAGGATGAAGTCCAAATGTTGGATCTTATCATTGCCCCCAGCCCTGCTGGTCTCTGATTCTCAAACACACCAAGCTCATGCCCACCTTTGTGAAAGTCCACACCTACTGAGCACTTAGCGTGAACGGTATTCTTAAGGAGTACTGTGATTATCCTCCTTATGAAGATGGGAAACTGAGGCAGAGGGGTTGCTCAGCCAGCCCAAGGTCATACAGAGTGAGCGCAGGGCAGAGCCTCAGGGCCTTTGCACTGGGATTCCCTCCGTCCGGAATGTTCTTCTCCCTAAAGTTCACGTGACTAACTCATGATCATTTCAGATCTCTGATCAAATGTCCCCTTGCCACATTCTTGCCATCTACCCTTTTGTACCTTTTAGATTTTAAACCATGTGACAGTATCAGCATTTCAAAATAAATGTTTTCTTAACAGAGCATTGTAAATTTTGATATAAGAAGCTTGTTAAGGGAACAAACCTTTTGATGACTCAGTATGGACACTGGGATCCTATTGTTGTTCAAATAATTACAATTTACAAACCAGCCTGGGCAATTTTCTCCTAAAAGGTAACTATGATCAGCTCCTAGAGGTAAGGCTAGAAGTGACTTTTTTTATAAGTATATATATATATTTCCATTTAAAAAAATTTTATTTACAGGTGACTGTTACCTTCATTTTGCTTGTATGTATTTTATAGTTTTTCCCCTGGTAACATGCCTAAGTGGGAAAAAGAATGAATGATTCCTTCATGTTAGGTGACCAGCACCTCAGAGCTCTACTGTTTCTTTGTTTTTTGAGATTTTTTGATGTGGCCATTTTTAAAGTCTTTATTGAATTTGTTACAATATTGCTTCTGTTTTATTTTTTGGGTTTTTTTGGCTGAGAGGCACCTGGGATCTTATTTGCCCTACCAGGGCTCTAATTCTCACCCCTGCATTGGAAGGCGAAGTCTTAACCACTGGACTGCCAAGGAAATCCCTCAGAGCTCTTTGTATCAACATTCCTGGTCAGCAGCTGGGGACACTGAGGCCCAGCAAGGGGCCAGAACTGACCTGGAAGCAGGTGTGGCTCCCAGATGCTCCTGGGAAGTTTCTGGGGTCCCCACTCATAGCCAAGAAGGCTTTTGAAGGGCCCCAGGTGTGTGGTGTGGAGCCTTGAAATGAGACATGCCACTGAAAGGCTGGCTTCAGTTCTGCCACCTCCCAGAAGGGCCTGACGGCTGTCTGAACTGGCTGATCCTTTCTTTGCTCAAATCTGAGAGCAGATTGCCAATTTTCAGAGGGGAAATAAAAAAGTGTGGAACATGTTTTCTCAGTTTGTTATCACACTCTGCAACTGATGGTCCTTGGCACCTTCTCCCTGGAGATAAGATGTACAGAGCCTCCTCTTTGCCTAGTGCTGTACTGAGCCCATTTTACAGGTGAGGAAACAGGACAAGAGGCAAGGAATCACCTGGGAATGTCACCAACTAACAAGTTGGTTCAAGGATTCAGCTCAGTTCCAGCTCCTTTTGATTCCAAATTTAGCCCCTCTGATCAAGCTAGGGAAACCCTGGCTAATTTTTTTTTTTGGTAACATGGGTTTTCTTAAATAACAATACAAGTTCTCCCTAGACATCAGCACTGTGCAGGGACTTTTACACACATCTGTCTTGTTTGATCCTCACACCCACCCTGTGAGGGAAGGTCTGTTCTGGGACCCATTTCTCAGAGAACACAACAAAGGCCTAATAGGGGAAGTGGTGTAGTCATTCACAGGGGGCTGTAATACCAGGCCTCCCAATGGACATGGGAGATAGTGAAGGACAGGGAAGCCTGACATTCTGCAGTTCGTGGGGTTGACAAAAAGTCAGGCATGACTTAGTGACTGAACAACAACCACAGTGCACCCCAGGCATCCCTGGACCCTGCCCAAGCTGCCCTGTGCCCTTGGGGGTGCCTGGTCATTTGGTCAACTAACTGGGCTCTGGCCTTGAGCTGGATCTCAGTTCAGAGGGAGATGAGAAGCCCTGAAAAATGCCAATACTCCCCAGCCCAGGAGGCCGCCCCTGGTGAGGGGACCACACTGTGTATCAGGTCACCTCACCTCTCTGGGGTCCTGGCTTCTAGAGCCAGGGGGCCTGGCTGACCTTGAAGAAGCCATAACTCCCAACCCCTGGCTTCTGGGGCTGCTCCTCTGTTGCTGGGCGGAAGGTCCTCTCTGTCGGGGAGTCAGGGGGAAGCGGCCAGCCTGGTGTGCAGCCCCAGGGGATGCTGGCTGAGCCACAACAGCCATGCGATCCTCACAGGGCGTCGCACAGCCATCCCAAGAGGGAGGGAGGCAGTCTTGTGGTGACCATTCTATAGAGGAGGAAACTGAGGCTCAGAGAGGCTAAGCAACTTGTCTAGTGTCTACAGACTCTCACCGTCCAGCCTGGGGTTCCCACCCCCAGCTCTAGCTGGTCCCCTCCAAGGATGATTCTGCCGCCTCTGAGCTGGCGGTCTCCTTGCCCCCTGAAGCCCTGTTTCCTCGTCTGTAAAGTGGGGGTCGCAGTCCTGCCAGCCTCAGAGGTCTGGAGGTGAGTGGGAAGGGAGGTGCTGGGCCCAGAGCACAGAGCAAGGGCTCCACACATGAATGAGGTTAGAAACCTTCCACAGGCCAAGTCCTTACATGCTCCTACCCGCACCTTCCAGATCTTTAAAGTGCAGACAACAACGGTCTCAGATCATCAAGCACAGACAACAGAGGGCACAGGGCCCAGCAGGTAGAAATCACTTTGACCAGTGGTGCCACTGTCATTGGCATCATTAAAATAGAGCTGGCCACTCCTCCTCACGGTCGGCCAGACGGAACCCAGGCTGTAAACGGGGCCTGGCACACAGGAGGGTCCTCAAGGCCACCGCGGCCGCCTCCCACGCCTGCTGCCCAGTCCTCCTTCAGAGCTCCCCATCTCCACACCCGGTGGAGGCTTCTGTGGAGCCTCCAGTTGGTGAAAAGGGAGCTGTGAGGCCCATGGGGTGAGGGGGCCCTGGACCACCCCAGGCCTTCAGAACAAGGTGTAGGATGACAAGGCTTTTTCCTTGGATCTCCATTTCAAAGTATGAGGTTATGATCATCGCTAATGGCTTGGATCCCTGAGGTCTATCTACACTCATTGTACAAAAGGTAGCCTTAGAGAAGAAGGCTGCCTGTCCAAGGTCACCATGTTCTCCTACCTGGAAGGAGGCAGTTTTAGCAAAGAGAGGACTCCCCGTTAGGCCTGTCTCCTCCATGGCTGCTTCCCACCAGAGCTTCTCAGCCACTGGCCAGCAAGTAGCCAGGGACCTGGCACCTCTCATCCTGGGCTTCCCGCTCCCCGACCGGATGGGGCATGGAGTGACTCACGGGTGTGGGTACCTCTGCCAAGCCTGCCCTGGGCTGGGCCACAGAGGGGAGGGGGAGCTGGAGGGATTCCCAAGACCTGGCCTTCTCCCACCCTGGCCTTAGGGGAGCGTGCCTGGGGCAGGTGGGCAGCGGCTGGGAGAAGGTCTCACCTGATAGGCTTCTGCTTTCATCCTGGGATCAGCCCAGGGATCTCTCGGCCTCCCTGCTGGATTTCCGAGCGCAGGATTAAGTCAGAATCTTCTGTGAGTTAAAAAACAACCCGGTGGAGGTTAAAGGTGAGCAGGCAGAAGGGAGTACTAGGGAGGGAGCATGCAGAGACTTCCGGGCCTTGAGGCTGGGCTTCCTGCCCGATGGGGCTGGTTTTATCTGCCTTCTCTTATCACAGCCCACCTCCCCTTACCGTTAAGGCTGTTTGCCCTGGCCCTGCCCGGCTGGGATCCCTGGTGAGGAGGGAGAGGCCACAGAGCTGCCCTTGACCTAAGGCGTCCAGGCCTGCTGGGGGGAGGGCTAAGTCACCAAATCATTTGATCAGAAAGATGCCAGGACACAGACCCAGTCCTCGGCCTACAGGGTGACATCGAGGGCCCGGTCAAATGAGCTGGTGAAGGCCTTTCCCATTTCCGCGGCCTCTCCAGTCATCTGACAGACCGCTGGCTGACTCGCTCTAGTGTTTGGGAGACCTCTGGGTGCCAGGCTGCCTCAGGTGATGCCCCCCACCAGGCCCTGCCCTCTGAGAGTGCTTATTCCTGGCTACACACCTCCCTTCACAGGTGAGGATGACACTCACATCACCCCAGGGTTCAAGGATAAACAGGATTAGACTCACACCTGCCGGCTTCATCCCAGCCTCCTCTCTGGGGTGTTCTATGGGGAGATGAAGGGTGGGGAGAGAGAGGAGCCAGAAGCTCCAGGGTTTAGAACCTATTTTGGTTGTTTTTGGTTGTTTAGAATCCACCTGCGAAGCGGGAGACCTGGGTTCGATCCCTAGGTTAGGAAGATCCCCTGGAGAAGGGAAAGGCTACCCACTCCAGTATTCTGGCCTAGAGAATTCCATGGACTGTATAATCCATGGGGTCACAAAGAGTCAGACACAACTGAGTGACTTTCACTTGGTTGTTTTTATTTATTTTTTTTAAGTTTAGATTTTTTTTTTAACTGTGGTGGGTCTTCGTTGTTGCACTCTGATTGCAAGTAGGGGCTACTCTTTGTTGCAGCATGAGGGCTTCACAACATGCTTGCTTCTCTTGTGGAGCCTGGGCTCTGGGCACGTGAGGGCTCACTAGTTATGGTGCTCGGGCTTAGTTGCTCCAAGGCATCTGGACCAGGGATGGAACCCATGTACCTTGCATTGCAAGGCAGATTCTTAACCGCTGGACCACAGAGAAGCCCTGGTTGTTTTTAAAATATGGGTTAATTGTGTGAGTAAAAACATTAATTCAGGAAATATGAGAAAACAGAGAGAAGCATAAAGGACAGTGCTGCGAACTCAGTCACTCAGTCTTGTCTGACTCTTGGCAACCCCATGGACTGTAGCCCACCAGGCTCCTCTGTCCATGGGATTCTCCAGGAAATAATATTGGAGTGGGTTGCCATGCCCTCCCAGGAGATCTTCCCAACCCAGGGACTGAACCTGCATCTCTTATGTCTCCTGCTTTGGAAAGTAGGTTCTTTACCATTAGCGCCACTTAAAGGACAGAACCACCCCAAATAAACATGGGTAATGTTTTAGTGTGATTGCTTCCATTTTCCTTACAGAAGAGTGGAAGCAGGAGATACTGGGTTGGCCAATAAGTTCATTTGAGTTTTTCCATACAGTCTTATGATAAAACTATGAACTTTCTGGCAAACCCAGTATTTTGTAACCTGCTCTTTCTACCTGTTGTCTTTGGAATGTCTTCCTGTCACAGTGCATGTACTTCTTGTCCTTTTGCGTGGCTGCCCAGCATCCTGTAACAGGGCCCTGCTCTAGATCCTGGACACAGACCTGTGAGTCAGGGATTGGATGTGTGCTGACCCTGGGGGAGTGCTGCTCTAACTTACTGAAGCTGATGGGGGCTCGTGCTTTTCCACAAGCAAAGTTGCCCTGACAATCATGGACGAATCAGGCAGAGGTGGCAGAGAACAGGGTAGGGGCATGATCTTTGAGGTTACAGCCCTGGTGTGGTCACAGTACACTAGGCCACGTGGCTCTTCTGTGTACAGGACAAGAATTAACAGGTATCCTCTGCTGCTGTGCATTCTATGATGTGCTTGTTCCCATCCCAATCACACATATGCAAGACTAGCTCCTTCCCTGACCCTCCTACAGTAGATTGTTCTACTTCTTCTTTGGTTCCTCTCCTCCTGTTCTCCAGGGATCCTACTGCTCCCAGAGGGGTTTCATCTGAAACAATCCATCCAGTGGCTCTTGCCAAGGTCACCACTTTAGCATGGCTAAACCTGATGGTCAGTCTTCACCCCCATTTCCTGGGCCTATTAGCAGCACTTGTCTAAGTGATTGATCCTATGTCTCAAAAAAACACCCTCTCTCTTTAGCTCCTGGATCCCACTCTTCTTAGTCTCCCTCTCTCTCTTCTTTTGGCCAGGCTTCCCAATTTGCAGGATCTTAGTTCCCCAACCAGGGATCGAACCTGGGGCCTGGCAGTGAAGGCGCCAAGACCCAACCACTGGACTACCATGGAATTCCCTCTATGGTCTCTTCTTCTTTTTTAAAGAGTATGACTTTTTTTTTTAAAGTCTTTATTGAATTTATAACAGTATTGCTTCTTTTTTTTTTTTTGGTTGCACCGGGCCTTCATTGCTTGTGGGCTTTTTCTAGTCGCAGCAAGTGGGGCTACTCTTCACTGCGGTGTACGGGCTTCTCATTGCAAAGTCTTCTCTTGTTGACAAGCACAGGCTCTAGGCGCTCAGGCTCTGGTAGTGGCAGCATGTGGGCTCAGTAATTGCGGCACTGGGGCTTCGTTCCTGTGCTCCATGCAGAATCTTCGAGAACCAGGGATCGAACACTTGTCCCCTACATTGGCAGGCGGATTCTTATCCACTGCACCATCAAGGAACTCCTGCTCCTGTTTTTTGTTTGTTTTTATGTTTTGTTTTTTTGGCCACGAAGCATGTGGGATCTTAGATCCCCAACCAGGGATCGAACCTGCACCCTCTGCATTGGAAAGTGAAGTCTCAGTCACTTGACTGTCAGGCAAGTCCCCTATGGTCTCTGATTTTTTTTAAAGAGTAACTCTTTTATACAGTTATTTATTTTGGGCTATGCTGGGTCTTCGTTGCTGGGTGGGCTTCCCTCTAGTTTTGGTGATCAGGAGCTACTTTCTAGTTGCAGTGCTAGGGCGTCTCATTGAGGGGTGACTTCTCTTGTTGGGGAACACTGGCTGTAGGGTGTGAGGGCTTCACTAGTCACAGCACCTGGGTTCAGCACTTGCGGCTCTCGGGCTCTAGAGCAGAGGTTAATGGTTGTGTCACACGGGCTAAGTTGCTGCAAGGCATGTGGGATCTTCCTGGATCAGGGATTGCGCCAGTGTCCTGCAGGTGGGTTCTTTTCTGCTGAGCCGTCAGGGAAGCCCCCTTTGGTCTCTTCTTACTTCGTCTGTTGTTGTCCTCAAGTCCCTGATGACACTGAACCCTGGAGTGTCCCAGTGGGCCTCGTCTCTTCTCCCCTCTTCCTGTGATGGGACTTTAAAAACCAACTGCGAGAACTGACAACTCCCAAATTTTGTGTGTGTCTAGACTTTGGGGGGCCCTGAACTAGACACCAGATGTATACCTGCCATCTCAGCCTGGACACTGCAGCCCTCTTCGTTTTGGGAGTGGCAGAAAGTTTATATGTCCAGTTCTGTTCCAACCCTTGAGAGGTTTCATTCAGGCTCATCTGTTCATGGGATTTTCCAGCAAGAATACTAGAGTGGCCTGCCAAGCCCTCCTCCAGGGGATCTTCCTGACCCATGGATTTAACCCAAGTCTCTTACATCCTGACCCAGGGATTGAACCCGAGTCTCCTGCATTGGCAGGTGGGTTCTTTACCACTAGTGCCACCAGGGAAGCCCATAGTTGAATTACAGTGTTGTATTAATTACTGCTATACAGGAAAGTGACTCAGTTATACATGTATATACGTTCTTTTTCGTATTCTTTTCTGTTATGGCTTATCGGAGGAAATTGAATGTTGTTTCCTGTGCTATATAGTAGGATTTTTTTGTTTATCCATTCTACATATACTAGTTTGCATCTGTTAATCCCAAACTCCCAATCCAACTCTCTCCAACCACTCTCCCTCTTGGCAACCACTAGTCAATTCTCTACCACCCAGATTCCATTCCTGTTCCATAGGTAAGTTCATTAGTGTCATCTTTTAGGTTCCACATGTAAGTGGTATCACTTGGTATTTGTCTGACTTGACTTAGTATGATATTCTCTAATTGCATCTCTGTTGCAGAAAATGGCATTATTTTCTGCTTTGTCAGTTCAGTTTAGTTGCTCAGTTGTGCCTCTTTGCGACCCCATAGACTGTAGCACGCCAGGCTTCTCTATCACCAACTCCCGGAGCTTGCTCAAACTCATGTCCATCGAGTTGGTGATGCCATCCAACCATCTCATCTCCTGTTGTCCCCTTCTCCTTCTGCCTCCAATCTTTCCCAGCAACAGGGTCTTTCCCAATGAGTCAGTTCTTAACGTCAGGTGGCCAAAGTATTGGAGCTTCAGCTTCAGCAGCAGTCCTTCCAATGAATATTCAGGACTGATTTCCTTAGATGGACTGGTTGGATCTCCTTATGGCTGACTAGTATTTCATTGTACATGTACCACATCTTCTTTATTCATTATCTGTTGCTGGACATCAGGTTGTTTCCATGTCTTGGCCTTTGAACATAGGAGTGCATGTCTTTTTGAATTATAATTTCATCTGGATATATGCCCAGGAGTGATTGCTGGATCATATGGTAATTCTACTTTTAGCTTTCTGAGGAAACTCCATTCTGTTATTTTTTAAAAATAATTTTATTTTTGGTGTGCTGGGTCTTTGTTGCTGCTGGTCTTCTCTCTGGCTGTGGTGAGTGGGGGCTCCTCTCTAGTTGCAATGTAATTTCTAGTTGCAGAGCAATGTCTTCTCACTGCAATGGCTTCTTTCAGAGCGCAGGCTCTAGGGCACATGGGCTTAGGATTAGCAATTGTGGCTCCCGCACTAGAGAAAACAGGCACAATAGTTGCTCCACGGCATATGGGATCTTCCCGCATCAGGGATTGAACCTGCGTCTCCTGCATCGGCAGGCAGATTTATCACCATTGAGCCACCAGGGAAGCCCCATGTTTTCCACTGTTTTAAGTCAGATTGCGAGAATTCCCTGGTGGTCCAGCGGTTAAGGCTGTGTTCCCACTCCAATGGGGCATGAGTTCTATCCCTGGTCAGGGACCTAAGATCCTGACTACCATGCAGTGCCATCAAAAAATTTAAAAAAAAACAACTTGGATATTTTTTTAAATCACCAGATTGTGTTCCTCTCTGTACAGAGCTCTCTGAAGGCTTCCTAGGCTTGGGGCTAGAATAGATCCTCCCTAAGCCTCCGGAAGGAACCAACCTTGCCGATGACAACTCCAGATTTCAGACTTTTCACCTCCAGAACAGAGAAAGTTGGTTATTATGTGTTTGGCAGCCCCAAGAATCGAATAGGCTAGTCATGATTTTTTATTTTTTTCCTTTCACTTGCCTTTTGTGAAGCTGTGACCCAGGTTAATACCTACCAGCAAAGGACAGTTCAGGCAAAAAGTTTTGCCAACCTTTTTTTCCCAGGTCCCCTTTAAGAGGCCTTCACGGGACAGAATGTAGAATGTGCTTCACCTGTGCCTATTTCAGATTTCAGACTCACAGGAAATGTATCAAAGGTATTCCCCAGAATGTGCTGTTCCTCTGAGTGTCCCAGCTCTGAGCCCGCATGACCCAAGCTTCTGCTAACTGCTCCCTGTTCTCCTGCCCGCTTGCCACCCTAACTCAAGCTACTGCCACCTCCACAAGGCCCTGGAGACCCTTCAGCTCTTCTGGTCATTTCCTCTCTTGCCACTCTCTGGTCAGCAGCCCGAGAACTCCTGCAAGTTACAGATCTGTTGTCATTCCACTGGCTAGAAGCCTTTCCAGCCTCCTGTGTTTGTAAGTCAAGTCTGAACAAGTCTGTCAGCCAAGGCAGACTCTGCCCCACTGGGTCACCAGTGCAGATGTGGCTCAGAGAAGGTCCCCCCCGTTTCCTCCTCAGCAGACTGGGTCCCTTTTCTCATGTCTCCCTGCTTTCTCTGACACTGAGTGGAGAGGAGAATAAGGGAGCATCATGTTACCTGCCGCTTGGGTACTCAAGAGAAATAAACAAGAGAGACAGAAGTCCCCTGAAGGTATGTCAGGGGACATGAACTGGGACAAAGGAAGTACCACGTCCTGACAAATCCAATCTCAGTGGTCAGCTACAGGGTTAAGAGCTGGCGGTCTGAACACAGAACACAGCACACAGCCGTTTACTGAAAAAGAGTCAACTTTAATTGCAACTGACCAGCCTGTACCCAGGAATGTCTCTGAACAATCGAACAAAATCAACACGATAAAACTGTCCTATTGAAGAAACCAAGAGCTTCCGTCGGCCCCAGAGGTTCTGAGGGCTAGGCTGAGAGCAGCCCGTTCCCATTCCTGAGGCTGGTTCTGTGCCCCACAGAAGTTTCTCATCCCACAGGGAGGGCCGGAGTGGGTGAGGGACCAGTCCCCTCCTCCCAACATGCTGGGGTCTCTCAGAGTCACCGGTGGGGCATACCTTTCCCCCCACCCCAGTCCTGTCCTAAGGTAAAGGGAGACCCTCTGGGCATCACTGCCAAAGCCAGGGAACAAGGTGAGGCAGCTCAGGTGCCTTCCTGGACTCTCCGCCAAAGTTTTACTCCAGTCTGCTCGGCTGGTGCCCGATGCCCAGGGTGCAGATTAAATAAGATATGCGCTAGAGGAAAAACTCACATGCCCCATAATCTCCACGGTGCAAGTCACAGAGCAGAAGAAAAAAAACCAAAACCACGGCCCTAATGAGAAGCAACAGCAGCCGGCCCTCAGAAGACGCGCTCAAACTCCGTCTGGTTGGTGGTGGCGGGATTCCGGCTCTGGTTGGTAGACTGCTGGGTGATCTGGCTGCCCTTCCGGCGTGGAGGTGCCAGGTACTCGAACATGGATGTCAGGTGGGTGGACAGCATGCCCTTGAGGTCCGAGGGCATGGGGTCGGACCAGAAGAAGTCATGGTTGAGGGCGTCGTCGCTGTCGATGCGCTGGGCGGGATCCAGCACCAGCAGCTTGTCAATGAGGTCCAGCGCGTAGGGGTCTCGCACGTAGGCCTTCAGCCTGTCCTTCACCTTCCGCTTCTGGCCCTTGACCAGCTCTACTTTCTCAAACAGCTCATACTTGTCCACATTTGGCCACACCTGGGGCAGGGGGGAGGCGTGGAAAGAGGATTAGAGTTAGTCCAGCGGGGTATGTGGCTGGTCCACTGGTCAAGTACGTATTCAGTGACCAGATATATCTCTGTTCAGGACTTCCCTGGTGATCCGATGGTTAAGAGCTGCCTGCCGATGCAGGGCACATGGGTTTGATCCCTGGTCTGGCAAGATTCCACATACCATGGAGCAACGAAGCCCGTGCGCCACAACGACTGAAGCCCGGGTCTAAAGTCAGTGCTCCGGAGCAAGAGAAGCCCCCCGCACTGCAACTAGAGAAAGCCCAGGCGCAGCAATGAAGATCCAGGGCAGCCAAAAATAAATAAGTAAATATGTACAACTTCCTCAGATGCTTGCAGACCACCCCAGAGGGCAGTTCAGAGCCCTTTGCGGTCAAAGCAGCAGTGACCACAGACGGGACACGGGCATGGAGTACCATTTGACATGAATCACCTGGGACACGTGTGCCAAGCCTGACAGAACCACAGATGTCTCACGGCACAGAGCAGCTCTGAGGTGAGGTGCTCAAGATGCCTTGCCGGAAAACCCCAGTAACTGGGGATGCGGCCGAGACCTGACGTCTCCATGGCTCTGAACAGCAGACCCTGACCCTCCACAGCCGCCTGTCCAGGTCAGGGCTTCAACTCCATTCTGTGCCCCCCTCCTCCCCCACCCCCCTCGGATGTGTGTGGCCTGGGGGCCCTCCAGGAGGCAGGCTGTGACGCACCTCAGGGGTGATGGAGCCGCAGAGCTGGCTGATGAGGGCGAGCTGGTGCTGTTCCGTGTTGCCCTGCATGATGGGGCTGCGGGTCCACATCTCCGCCATGATGCACCCAGCGCCCCACAGATCAATGGGGGGGCCGTAGTCCCGCTCCCCTGGGAACAAGAGCACACCAGGGAGGGCCCCCTGAGCCCCACGGCCTCCGGAGAGGCCACGCCCCTGGGGCCGGTGGCTCAAGAAGCCCTGGCAGCTGGGGTGCTGAGACTGAGCTGAGCGCCCAGCCCCTGCTCCCCTCTGCCAGCTCGGGAGAGTCCTCACCGAGCAACAGCTCTGGGGGCCGGTACCAGAGGGTCACCACACGGTTGGTGTAGCGGTTGGGCTGGCTGTTCTTGGCCAGGCTGAAGGCCCGGGCCAGCCCAAAGTCCGCCAGCTTCAGAACCCCATCGCGGGTGATGAGCACGTTAGCCGCCTTCATGTCCCGGTGCAGGATCTGCGGGAGGCACAAGGCGGAGGGTTCCCAGGGGTCCCTTAGCTATGCCCACCCCGAAGTGAGCGCAAAGGCCAGCCCAAGCCTTGCTCTCTCCTCCCCCACTCCAGCCCCCACCTTGTTCCTGTGGATGTAGTAGAGGCCGTTAAGCAACATCTGCATGACCCTCTTGATCTCAGATAGTGTGAACTTGACTAAGACGTTGCTCAGCAGCCCGGCAAGATCATGCTCGCAGAAATCAAACACCAGGTATATACTGCCTTTGCAGCGATTATAGGGGGAAGCTGAGGCAGGAAGAATGAGGAGGAGAGAGAGGGAGGCAAGAAAAAAAAAAAATCAGAAACCTCATATGCAGCTCATTTCCCCCAAACTAGCTTCCAACCCCCCCAACCATGGCCACCCGGATAGCCGGGTACCAACTCCTTCATAGGCAAAATATTTTCTGAGTGCCTTCTCTGGGCCGGGTGCTGTGGCAGGCCCTGGGGAAGCACCTGCTCCGATGAAAGGACCAGAGAAAGCAGTCACAGTTGGAATGTCTGGGTTAAGAAGAGGCAGTGTAAATGTGTCCAGTTTCAATTCCACAAACAAAGCCTCAGTTTCTCCATCTGAAAATCGGGACATGATCCAAACAACTTACCTTTGGTTCGACAGATCTCAATCAAGTTGACCACATTCTCGTGTTTTAGAAGCTGGAGGATCTTGATCTCCCGCAATGCTGTAATGGGGAACTGGGTGGGAGAAAAGACAGGAGGAAGTCAAAAGTGGGTGAGAACACTACAGACCCAGGAACTGGCCATGGGGTACACACGAAGGGTCAAAAGTTGGGAGACAGAGTAAATGCACAGCTCTGAAATTAGTTGTCTCAGATGCCACATATGTAAAATGGGAGTAACTTTGTACCCCTCATAAAGAACTGAATGAAATGAATCAAAATAATTTAATGAATGAATTGAAACAGTGATACTTCACACAAAGGTTCTGTAACCAGTCATCAGATGCTCTGCAGTTTCTTCAACCTTGTAAATTGTAGCCCTATGCCTGCGTTTAGCCTGTTTGACAGTTAACCAATATATAATTAAAGTAGCGAGTCTGTGGAAAGCTGGACCAGAACACACGTGTGTGGCAGGAGAGACTGTTGCTTTTCAACTGAACACCAATCACCTTTTTAAAACCACTGCATGCAATTATTATCATTATTTTATATATATATATTTTTTGCGTTCAACGAAATTAAACTGTAAGGAAAAAGTGTTTAAAGATTTCCTAACTTCAAAACCCCAGGGGCACTGGGTGCAAGCATGGGCTCCCCCTCCTGGCATCAACCATATTCACCTAAGAATGAAGTATCAAAAGCTGTAAGACATCTGAATTCAAAGACTGAACTGGGAAGTCAAACTTCCTGTAATATGGAAATTTCCAAACACCTAATCTGAATCTACTACGTTGAGAGTCTCAAAAGCAGAAAGGTGGAAACGCAACCTCACGCCCAAGGGAGCTGGCCGACCTGCCCACTCCACCCCACCCCATACTCACCCCCTCTTTCTCGTTCTCCATCAGTACCTTCTTCAGGGCCACCTTTTGGCCGGTCTTGCGGTGCTTTGCCTTAAACACCTCCCTGCAGGCGGAGAAGGGGGACCCCAGAGGGCTCTTATAGGCCGTTTCCGCAGGGCCCGCCCCTCCCCCACCAGAGGAGAGCCGGAAAGGGAATCCCGGGCGGGGCTGGGCCGGGTACCCCAGGGCACTCGGCTACCCCACCACGCGGTGACTCCCGTCCCTTCTCGAGTCTCAACCTCCTTCCCTCTGCTCCTTGCGCCTCACCCGGGCGTTTCGTGGAGAGATCCCGCTCCACTCACAGGCTCCTCTCTGCAACCCCTCCCTGCCCCCCCATCAAGGGCCTCAGGCTCCTCCCCGCCGGCCGACTCCTTCAGGCCCCGGCGGGGTGGCGGTGCGGCCTAGCGAGACCAGGGGATAAGTCTGCGTCTAAGTGGCTTCCCGACCAACCGGGCCCGGGTCTGGGCGTCCCGACGTCGGCCCGAAGGGGTGCAGGATCAGGAGGCTCCCGGTCCCTGGGGGTGGGGGTGGGGGGGCCAGCCTTACCCGAAGGTGCCTTGGCCGATTTTAGCGAGCTTCTCATATTTGGTCACCTCATCACAAAAAGGGCACTCCACCGAGTCGTACTGCTTTGCCATGGCTGACTCCAGTGCGCCGCCGCCGCCGCCGCCGCCGCCGCCACCTCCTGCCACCACCGCCGCCGCCGCTGCCGCCGCTCCCGCTCCGGGTCCCGCCGCCGTGCTCCAGGCCCCTCCGCGGCCGCGCCACTTCCGCCTCCACGGCCACTTCCGGCCTCGAGGCGCCGACCCCGCCTCTTCCGCCCGCCGCCCGCCGCCAGGCCCCCTGGGACTTGTAGTTCCCGGGAGGCCAGGAGGAGCCGAAGCTGCAGAGGCGCCTCCGCCACCGCCGCTGCCCCCGCCTCCGCCGCCGCCGGCGCTGGCGGCGGCCCCGATCGGGGGCGCGGGGAGTCGGGGCGCCGGGGCTGGGGCTCGAGGTGGTGCGTCCCGCTGCATCGGCTCGGGCCGCCGCCGCCGCCGCTGCCGAAGCCGCTGCCGCTCTGGCGCCCGATCCGGGGCCAGCCGCAGTGCCCTGCTCCTCCTCCTCCTCCGACGGCACCGCCTCCGCCGGGCTGCGCTGGGCGCCGGGCGCGGGGGGGATGGGGGGCGGCCCCCCGAGCCGCGGCCTGGGGGCTCCCTGGCCGGGCCCGGGCCCGGGGCGGCCGGGCGAGGGGGCAAGACGGAAACAGCCGATGAGGAGGCGGCCCGAGAGCCCGGGAGGGGGCGCGTTATAAAGGGGGAGGTGCCCGGGCCTCGCCCTCCCCTCCCCCTCCTCCCGCCCCCTCCCTCCTCCTTTCCACCCTCCGCGGCCGCACCTGCCGCCGCCGCCGCCTGCCTCCCGCCCGCCCGCCGCCCTCGGCGCGTCACCGCCCGCGGCCCCTCCTCCGCCTTCGGAGGTGGGGCCCCGCGCTCAACACCTGGCTTCGGGGCGCGACTTGCCGCGTGCCTCAGTTTACCCGCACATGCCAGCCGCAGCGGGGAGTCCCTTCCTCCCCGGCTCGGGGTTTCCCTACCCGCCCCCCACACCCCACTCTACGCAGGCGAAGACTAGAGGCGCCGAGGGAGCGGCCTCGGGTCCGGGGAGGGGAGAACGGGCCCCCACCTCCGCCTCCCCGGGCCCCCGCCGACCCGCCGTTGATATGGCAAGCGACAGCCGCCAGGGGGCGCAGCTACATTGAAGGTGGTGAGCCAGCAACGCCTGGGCCTTCCAGTCCTGGACCCCCACCCCGTTCTCTGGGATACAGAGATGAGACCCACAGGACCTTGGTTCCCGCCAAGCTGCTCCCTAACTGGTCGCCCCCCGGGTTAGTAGTCACAAAGGTAGCCGGCATTTCGTCGGCCCCTCTTGTGTGCTCAGGAACTGCTGGGCATTCCTGCCGAATCCTGAATCCGTCGCCCCATAGTCAGGATCACTAACCAATTTTACAGAAGAGCACATTGAGGCTTGGAGAGGTGAGGTCATTTGCTCAAGGTCACACAGTAATAAAACTGGAACTCGAACCTTGTCTATCTGAATCCGAAGAGGATTCTCTTGATTCAGACTATTTACAGTCTATCCAGCAATATAGCAAGTGGTGCTGTTTGAGGCCTGCTGTCCTTATGCCAGGTTACCAAGCCCACCACCATTCACCATCTCCTCCTCTGATCCTATGCCTGCTTCTCCTACCCTGGCCCTTCTTCCCCAGCAGCTTTCTGATACCTTTTGGCTCCAGGAGCCTCCTGTATCTCCCTCCAGCCCTTAACAACCAGCCCTCTTCAGACCTCCTCTCCACCCCTCTTTAATCTGCACCCCCACCCCAGTCTTCTACCAATGGATCCTAAGACCTGTCCTCCCCAGTCTGTCCCCTCCATCTGTCCCCTCCCAGCACCCATCAGATCATTCTGCAGTGGTGTCTGTATGTATTTCTCTCCACTATCATCAGGAAAAACCAAATTGTGACATTTGAGGCACTTTCCATCTCCCCACCTAGGCTGTGGCCACACTGTTTCCTACACCCCAGAGCCCCTTGCCTTCAGGGCTGTGCTCTGTGATTGCACCCCACTACCTTCTCTTCTGCCAGGAAGGTTCCTGGGTTGCTCTCCAGCTCTTAGTTCACATGGCTTGGCCTTGAAGCTTCTTTGTAGGAGGAGTCAGGAATGGGTCTGGTGATCCTGGTGTCCCAAGAGACCCTGTTCTGCTGGGAGGCAGGGGGACTGCCAGGGAAGGGCTTGAGGATCAGATGAGGAGTAGTGAGCCCTCTCCTGAAGGCTGTATGGACCAGCGAGGGTTTGGGGCATGTCAGGGAGTGATCTGGGGTCAGTTTCTTGGGTACAGTATTAGAAGCAGGGTGGCCATTGGCTAAATTGGGGGTAGGGAGAGCAGGGAGGAAGAAAATAATAATAATTGTAGTAATTATAGTTTATGGAGGGAAAATAAATGGTCCAAGCTGTACACTTAGCACTTTATGGGAATTATCTCAATTCTCACTCAGCGATATTATACTATTATTACCTCTATTGTACATAGAAGAACACTGAAACTGAGGTGACATCACTTATTGTTGTTGTTCAGTTGCTAAGTCGTGTCTGACTCTTTCTGACCCGTGGACTGGAGCCCACCAGGCTCCTCTGTCCTTCACTATCTCCTGGAGTTTGCTCAAATTCATGTCCATTGAGTCGGTGATACTATCTAACCAGCTTATCTTCAGGAGAAGGAAACGGCGTGGACGGTGACATCACTGGCCAGGGTCAAACACCTGGCCAGTTGCCACACTGATATGTAAAGCCAGCACCAGCCAAAGTCTGGTGCCAAGCCCAAGCAGTTACCCATGTCAGGGCCCCGCCCACCCGGGCTGAGGGTGGAGCAAGGGCACAGTCATGGCACAGCATCGCCAGCTGGGTGGCCGGATGCCACTGGGAGGTGTGGGAGGGGGTAGTCGCGTTGGGTGGAAGCGGGGAGGTCTGCGTGGGTTTGGGTGGCTTCCACCATCAGATTCTCAGGCTGGGGCCCCTGCTTGTTTCTCACGAGCCCTCCCTAAGTCACATCCTGTGGGCAGAGGCCTCAGCAGAAGTTCCGGTGGTGTCATCACCTCCACCCCCCCATCCCTGGCCTGAACCCTGACATTGCCAGTCACTTCCCCTCAGGGCCTCGGGCCCTCAGCCCTCCCTGCGGGAGGCAGGAGCAGTCAGAGCCCTTCAGAAGGCTGCCCAGTGAAAGTGAGAAGAAATTAGGTTCTAGCCAGAAACAACTTCTCACCGACTCTGACTTCTTTGCTGGTTGGAGGGAAATGTTTCCTGTTTCCATGGATCAGTTAGGCTGGCAAGGCCGGGCCTGTGGCCAGTACTCGGGAGATGTTTGCTGACTGACTGACCAGGCTCTGAGAGAGCCTCCGGTCCTGCTGCCATTTGGCAGTTAGGGAAACTGAGGCACAGAGCAGGAAAGGGAGCCCCTGGCCAGCTGTTTGACCTGGGCCTTCTGTTTCCTTCCCCTGACCAGGAGCAGGGTGCGGGCACATGGAGGGAAGAAGAAAGGCTCCTTGGCGGGGTGCTCTTGTTGCTGGTCTACCTGGGGAGACAAGGGGTCACCGGATAGGGGGACATAGAATAGAGAATGGCTGGGTGATGTCCACAGCCCTGCAATTCCATGGACCTCTGCCCACACCAGCTAGGTACTGACTGCGTGCCTGGCCCCATGATATAGGCCAGACCTCTGGAACTTTACAGCACCCGTCTTAGAAACCTGCTGTTAGGGGGCTCAAGTTACAGAAGGGGAAACAGTTTCAGAGTGGTAAAAGTGACCTGCCCAAGGCCATGCAGCCAGGGGGCTATGGAGCTGGGGTTCAAAGCCAGGTCTCTTTGGCCCCCCATAGAAAACAACTGAGGCAAGCTGTGAAAAAATGTCTGCTGAGTCCTACAGTTAGAGCAGGCCTGCAGCAATGTGGAAGCTTGAGGCCAGTGCCTCTGACGAAGCATGAGGTTTGTTTGGAACATGCATATAAAGGCACAAGTGAGGGACTTCCCTGGTGGTCCAGAGGCTAAGACTCAGCTCCCAATGCAGGGGGCCTGGGTTCGATCCCTGATCAGAGAACTAGATCCCATATGCCAAACTAAGAGTTTGCATGCCTCAACTAGAAGATTCTGAATGCCACAATTTAAAAGATCCCATGTGCTGCAACCAAGACCTAGGGTAACCAAGTAAATAAATAAAAATATTAAAAAAAAAGAAGACACAAGTGAATGTAATACAGATAGTATTCTCAGTGTAGACGTCTTATTTCATGACCACAGGATCGTGTGAGAGATGTTGAGTTTGTCCCATTTTATTGATGGGAACAATGACGCTCAGAGAGGTGACGTGACTTGCTTGAGGTCAGGCAGGTGGCCGTCTGGACTCAGGTGTGCCTGGGTACAGTGACTATGACATTGAAAGGCTCCAGTCTCTAATCGTCCTTGGCCAGATTGCTGACACCTCTGTCCTGGATTGGGGAGGGGAGAATGGAGGGGCTAGAAATCAGAGCAGGGTTCCTGGGGCCCTGTGGCTCAGTCTAGACCACAGGGACTCAGTGGAGAGAAAGACGAGCCAGTGGAGGGGTGCTTGCGTTCCGAGTGTGGGTCTAGCCCAAGCAAAGGCCTGAGGCTGGAAAGTGCTCGTGTGTTCAGGGCTGCGGAGCAGGGTTGGGCTGGCCTCCAGCGCCGGCTGAGGAGGGCCCGGGGGACAGCCACCGGCCAGCAGGTCCCCAGCCGCACTCCCAACGGCCACTCGAGGCGGCACAAAGAGGGCTCTGAGCTCAGCGGAGCCGCCACATTGAGTGGTCACACTGAGCCCCATTCATTCTCCCAGGGATGCGGCAACTGCCCTGGCGCCTGGGCCAACGGCAGGGCTAGCCTGGCTCAAGCAAGGCCCCTCCACCACGGCAGCACAGCCTCGCCCTGGCTGTGGCTGGGACTCCCGAGTTTCACCCAGTGTGCCTGCCCCAGGGTTTTCCTGCCCTAAGCCAGTCTGCCCCTGGCCTGAACCACCTCCATCCTTCAGCAAGAAGTGCCAGGGTGTACTGGCCCAGGCCATCATTCACTCTTTTTGTCTTCCCAACAACTCCAGGAAGTGGGGGAGTCAGGGGATTACTGTGACCCCATTTCACAGATGAGGAAACTGAGACTCAGAGAGGTAAAGTCTTTCATGGAGGGTCACACAGCAAGTTGGGAGTAGGCCTGGCCAGAAAGCCAGTACTGGCTGATGCCACTGCCTCAGCAGCTGGCCCAAATCCCTCCAACTGTCTCCTGAGAAAGAAGCTGGGGGATCCACCCTCCAGCTCTCACCAGGAAAACCCCTTTAGCTACCACCAGGCCACCGGCCCCTCTCCCTCTTCCGACAACAACCAGAGATGGGGAGGGGCACTGGTCTGGGAGTTAAAACACCTGGGTATCTGTCCAGCCTCTGCTCCCCGTTAGCCTCAGTTCCCTCATCTGTGAAATGGGACAATGCCAGGATCACCTCACAGATCTGTGATGACCTGTGGGGGCTTCCAGATCCATGCCTGGATCATGGTCGATGCTTAAGAGAGGGAGCTGGAGTTGTACCCCCTTTTCCTCCCAAGTCCATGGTCCAGAAGCCCCATCCTTTCATTTGAACTTTGTCCCAGCCAGGCCTGTTTGCTGCCTCCATCTCATGGGCTGTGTCCCTTTCCCTTCCAAGGTCTCCAGTTCCCCCTTGTTCCATCGAGAAAGTTCGGCAGTCCCTTCTCCCACCAAGGTCTATCATCCGGTTGCCAGAGGGTGGCAGGCACTCTGAGTGTGCAAGTTAGGACCTCAGACTCCATGGCTAGACAGGCAGGTCCCAATTCCAGGTCACTTGATTTCAGAGCAGGGCCTCAGTTTCCATATCTATAGAATGAGGACAAGAAAAACAGTATTTGCCTCCTTAGGGCAGAAGAACTGAGCCCTCTGGCTGGCCCATACTAGGTGATCAGAAAACATTAGTCGTTAGTAGTTATTATTTTTATGGAGGATGTACAAGGGGCCCCACCTGACCTTGAACTTCCCCTTTCACACCCCAGTGGGCCAGCCCTGGGGCCAGGATAATAAATGTCCGATCATGCCACAGCCTCCGTGGGTTGACTGTGTACCTTACACTCATGCCTATTCTAGAAATTAGGTGACCGAGTCTTCAGAGGCAGAAGTAACTCAGTACTCAGAGCCGGGATCTGAAGCCCCTGGTCTTTCGGGTGCCCCCCAGGAGCTGCTGGATGCTTCCACAGGTGTCAGAGACAACCTATGTAGGGGAGGTCTCACTTCCTCATCTCTGTCCTGTCCATGTGAGCGTGCACATACACACACACACACGGGGTTGCAGGGTAGAAAAACACCAGGCTGTGGGTTAAAAGGGCCTGAAAGGGCAAGTTGTCACTCAGTCTGTGCTGCCAAGCCGCCGTACGGCCCGGGGTGCTTCTACTGGCCTGTGTCTCGGTTTTCTTATCCTGGCCTTGTATAGCTGGGTGGTGGGCTAAATCATCGCCATGTCCCTTCCAGCTTGAAAAGGAGTGACCGTGCCTTGAGGACACTGATTCTGTGCCAGGCTTTGCACCAAGCGCTAGACCCTGTGAGGTGGGCATTGCAAATACCCCTCACTCACAGAGACAAAACTGAGGCTCGGGGAGGGACTTGTCCAGGATCACACGGTGACAGAGGGGGGCAGCCAAGACTTGAATTTGGGTGGTCTCAGGGCCAACGGGCCAAACCATGGCACTCCCCTCGCCACCACTGCCAGTACATCCGCCAGCGCTGAGGCTTAGAGTAAACCCCTCTGCCCGCAGGCCTGACTCCCTGCACCCTCCCAGCCTGCTGGCCAGACCCCCCGACAGCGGTCGTCAGGTCCCTGGAGGCCCCCAGTCCAGTAGGCTCTGTTCCCAGAGCCTGCGGTTTCTTTCCCAGACCTTCTAGATCTCACGCGCTTGTGGTCTGCCCCCCGCCTCCCCCCGCTGCTGAGGCCAAGGAGGAGGCCCACAGGGGCTGGGACTGGGGGGGGGGGCGCCCTGCCTCCGCCCCCTGCGGAGAGGATGGGGAGGGTGGGGCTGTGAGAGTTTCACTGGTTTAAAAATACACAGAGGAAGCTAGTGAGAGGGCGCGAGAAAGGGGAAGGGGAGGTGAGGGAGGCATCCCAGCATTGATGTCCAGAGCTCCAAGTGACCACTTGCCTTTCGGCCAGGAGCTCTGCACGACTTGCCGAGATGACGGAGGGGACCAAGAAGGCCAGCAAGAAGTTCAGTGAGTGTGGGGTGCTGTTTGCATCGTCCTTCATCCCTCTGTCTGTCCGTCCGTCTCAGCCTCTCTGCATCTGCTTCTTCTCTATCTCATTTCTGTTTCTCTTTCTGTCCATCTCTGGCTCTCTCTGGAGGACTCTGAGTTTCCATGGCGCCGTCTCTCCATCCCTCTGGCCCGATCTCTCTCTCTCTCTCTCCAGCTGGTTTGGCTCTCCATCTCTGTTTCTCTCTTGTCTGTCTCTGTCCGTCACTATTTCTCTGTCTCTCCCCGCCCAACTGTCAGTCTCTCCATTCGTCTGTGTGTCCTCTGGCTCCCTTTGACCTCCGGGCTGGGCCAGGGAAGACCTCCACACATTCCATTGCTTGCCTCGTGCTGGTTCACATGGGGGTCTCAGGTTGGGAGTTGCTGGGGCGGGGAGGGGGAAGGGGTGCGTGCCATGGGTTAATGTCCCATGACCCCACCAGCAGTGACGCTGGGACCCAGAGCAACTCATTGAGGGGCCACACCCACCCATCACTCTTCTTCCCCAGGTTGCTGACTCCTTCCTGGTCCCAGAAAACTTCAGCTCCCTCTGATTTTTTTTTTTTTTTTTAAGATTTAGATACAGATTTAGCTATGCTGGGTCTTAGTAACAGCACTTGGGATCTCAGATCTTCACTGTGGCACGCAAGATCTTTTTAGTTACAACATGTGGCATTTAGTTTGTTGACCAGGGATTGAATCCCAGACCCCCTGTATTGAGAACGCAGCGTCTTAGCCACCGGACCACAGGGAAGTTTGGATCTGACAGCACATGAGAGGAGTGTACAGGGCAACAATTATGACTGTGCTCCACAGACGAAAGACCCAGAGACTTGCCTGAGGTCATATGGGGGCACAGAGCAGGGCTCATTCTCACGTCCCTGGACCCTGGACGTCAGTTTCCCTCCCTGCCCCACTAGTCCTTCCTCCAGACCCCCGGTGCCCAGGAGACAAAACAAGTGGGACCAAGAAAGGAGGTGATTCGCTCGTTGGCATAGCTTTCTAAGAGCAGAGCCTCAGCATCTGCTGAAGGCGCTTGTCAGGAGGCAGAGGCTGTAAGACTGAGGGTGGGGTGGGGGGTGGGCAGGCCTGGGAGGAAAGCCCCAGAGCACTGACCCCCGCACTCCAGAGCCCTGGGCCCTCGGCCAGGCTCCGCTTGGCTTTCTGACCCTGGGCAAATTCCTTCCCCTCTCTGGGCCTCAGTTTCCTCTCCGTCAAATGGGGCCATCCCACCTATGTTCCACCATGGTCGTGAGGATCTGAGGAGGTGGAGGATGCCAAGGAAGTGGGAAATGCCAGGGTTTTTGGTTTTTGCTTATGGAGGGGCCGTAGTGAAGTCCGGCAGACGGTGGTGGCTAGGAGGAGGGGCACGCCCACAGCTGCGAGCAGGCAGGAGGGCGCTCAGGCGCACCCCTGCGGAAACGCGGAGATGGTATCACCCGAGCACTGCCGCCTGAGTCCCGACCAGGGCTCAGCTGACAGGAAGGCGAGAACCGCAGGGAGTGGGACCCTCAGGGACCCAACAGCCCCCTTCTCATTTCATCCGCACCTCCGGGGCACCTCAGAGCCTCGTTCAAACACCCACTCCCCCGACCCTTACACGCACATCACACACACACATACATGCTTCCATCTGTGTGACTTTGGGCAGGTCATGTCACCGCTCTGAACCTTAGTTTCTTCATCTGGAAAATGGGGGATTAAACTTGTGCATGGGGTTGTGCTGAGAGTTCAGGGAAGTAATTAATGATGGTGGCATGTTTGACAAATGCAGGGGCATTTACTGTGATCCTCATCACCATCTTCATTACTTCTGACGGCTACGAAGCATGTTATTTACATGCTGAGTTCATGCCTTTCTTCAATTTTTCCATTGCCCAGAGGACAGTGGTCCCCAACCTTTTTGACACCAGGGACCAATTTCGTGGAAGACAGTATTTCCATCATCTGGGGATGGGGTGGGATGGTTTGGGAATGATTCAAGTGCATTAGACTTATCATGCACTTTATTTCTAATCTAACTACTGTTGCTGATCTGCCAGGAGGTACTGGTCCACAGCCCAGAGGTTGCCCCTGCCGCTGCCATGGGGGATGAATACTATAATCTCTATCTTACTGATGTGAATGAATGGGGCTCAGAGAGGTCAAGTGACTTGCCTAAGGTCACAAAGCTAGGATGTGGAAATCAAAGGCTACAGGATCCCAGTGGTGCCATATTATACCGTAACACTTAGAGGGGGTGTCAGTGAAGCTCCCAACCCTCCTTGAACCCTCAGTGAGTGGAACTGCACAAATGTTTCATTGTCATTGTTATTACTGCTGGCAATGTCATTAACTCCTTTCCCTTCCCTCCCCTCTTCCAGAGTTCTTCAAGTTCAAGGGATTTGGGAGTCTCTCCAACCTTCCTCGGTCCTTTACTCTGAGACGATCTATGGCCCCCAACAGTATCCGGCCCCAGATGGATGCTGACACCTTCGATGCCACACAGGATGACATGGTGACAGTCCCCAAGAGCCCCCCGGCCTATGCCCGCTCCAGCGACATGTACAG